AAAAATCATGTTCCATTTCCTTCCGCTCTTTCGCTTTGAGCACCTCTTCCGCACCTCTCCTCTCCCCTCATATATACCCCCCTCTCCCCAAAACCACTCACAGCTCTCCCCCTTCTCCCTCTCCGTCTCACCGCAGCCTTCCAGTATGCCGCCAAAGACTGAGAGGTCTCCCAGCCTGCCCAATAAGCCTCCCCGGATATCTACTCGGTCCCGAGCAACGGCTCAGGCCTTGCCAACCCCACAACAGCCTTCGCCCCCACTACCTTCTACGCCCGTCCCTGCAGTTACTGCTCGTCGGGATAGCGATTCACAAGCTCCCATGCCGCTTCCCACCCAAGATTCGGACCCGCAGCCGACGCAGGAGCAGGCCAATACACCCAGAGCGACAGTCTCCTCGCCGTCCACGTCCTCATCCGTCCGCCAAACCGCACGGCGTGATACCCGCACCAACCGACGGGCGAGCCAATCGTCAACCACCAACACTGTCTCACCCGGTCCCTCGGACCCACAACAACCGCCAGAGGAGCACGCACGATCGTCTACCCCCGTGTCCGAATCGGGCGAGGCGACCGAGTTCCGAATGCCCACGCGCTCGCACTCCGTAGATTCCTCGCTGGCCGAGCCGTCGGAGGACCCAAGCCAACCGGGCGGACGCCGCAAGTCCACTAGACTGACTGCGCCCGTGGCGGAACCCAACGAGAATGAGCCCCCTCCACCCGACACGATCAACACTCCTAAGCGGCGGAAGGGCGGTCGCGGAGCTTCGGCCAAGGCAAACGGGCTCTTGCCAGGGAAGGCCAAGAACCCCGCCGAATATGACGAGTCCGACGACAGCGAAGTCGAGGTGGCAGCACCGAAGCTGTCGAGGGAAGAGAAAAAAGCGCGGAGAGAAGCACTATTACAGGAGAGGTAAAGACCTTCTCATACATATCCACCTGGCATCCTCTATTTTGGATCTTTCCCACACTTTATTCATGCGAATATATCGCCCATTTACTTATGGACATCCCATATTCCGTCTTTACAGACTGGCTGAACTAGATACCATGCAAAGACAGGTCGAAGAAGGAACACACCCAGGATTCCGTCAGGAGCTGGACGACATTGAAACTAAACGACGGCGGAAGCTGCAGATCGCGCAAACACGCCTGGAGTATACTCGGGTGTCCACACGCAAATTCTTTCACGCAGCTGAGAAGCAAGCGTTTGATGATTTCGCGGTATTTAGTTATTTCATTCGCTTTATTGTATCGTGTTTTGCTTTATTGTATCGTGTTTTATATGAGGCAGTCACTGCCCTTCAAAAGAAGAAGGAAAAGAAGAAACCCCTTGGTTACTGAATAGCTTTATTCGGGATTTCCGATATGTAGTTTGGTCGATTGGCCTTACGAAGGTCAATGTTAGAGGATGTTCAACGTAAAATAACATCATTGCATAATGAGCTGATCAAACTCAAGTTCCCCAAAGGTAGTTGGCAAAGCTTTGATACTAATGTTTTGTGTTTATACGATTGTCTTTTCCGGCGTTAAATCGGCTTTGCATGGTTTCTACTGTGTTCATTCAGTTACATCCGAGACAGCTCTGGACGAGGAAGGCGCTGAGGATTATGTCCCGAATATCAGACCGTTCATGATTAATATCCTTCTCGCGCAATGTGAAATGCGTTTCTGCACTTTTGATTTGGTCCATTTAAGTCCAGTCATCTTCATCACTATTACCTTAACTCTTAATCCCTTGATGGGCATTCTCCCAACACGTTCGCTCCCGCAAGGCCTCCCCTCCGAAGACATCGACGCCGACTTGGTGCTCATGCACGAGCCGCCGGCCTTCGATCACCGGGAACATAGGTCACATCGCCACCGGCGCCATCGCGACCGTGACCGAGACAGGGAATACGACCAATACCCGGAACAAGAACCTGAATACGAATACGAAGACGAGTCACAGTATAGCTACCCGCCGGAGGACGAGCCGCGGCCCGTTTACGGAGACTACGAACGCGATCCAGTGTACGACGGGCGCGAGTACGAGTACGGGCTGCTCCAGGAGTTATCTCGGCCGCGTGAGATGTACTACGATTCTGGTCATTACGAACACGACTATTACGCCCCGTCGGCATCGACATCAGTCGCGCCTTACATGCACCGTGGCGACTCATACATGTCGTATAACGAGCCGGAATCCATCCGGGGATCCTCCTCCGAGGAAGTCTCACCGACCCCAGTTCCAACTCCGCATCAATTTTACTCGTACTACCCACCCCCGGACCCCCGCTTCCCGCCAGCGCTCCTACCACCACCACCTGAGGCTTCGTCCTCATCGTCATCGGTGAAGCGTAAACATAAACACCATCAGCGAGACCAGGAACGGGACAAGCGTTCGCGGTACGAGAGCTCGGCGGACATGTTTGACGAGAGGGGCCAGCCTGTTTACTACGTTGAGGACGACGACGACGCCGTGCGGGAGGAAGATCGCACGCATCGCCACCACCACAAGCACGTGCACCGGACGCATCGACATTCGAATACCTCGATGGATCGGAGGCCATCGTGGACGGCGTCCATCAAGAAGAAGAAAAAGCATAAGAAAGATAGGTTCATGATGCCGGCAATGGTTGTGTCGGAGTGAAGACGTTCCAGAATCGATGCGCACGTTTGCAATGGCGGCGGTAAGTTGGAGGGGCAAATAATGGGTAAAGCAACAGACAATTTTTGCCCGCGTGTGCTGGGATATTTGAAGAATGGTAGGAATGATCGATATAAAACCAACCTAGGACATCGCATCATGTATCCGGTTCATTGTTTTCGTTTCTCCCTACATTTTTCCAATTTCCCCTTGACACAAAATTAATCCATTTTTTTGCCCCTTTGCCGTCCAGTATTGATGTTTGCGCATTTTGGCAATCTTTTTTTTTTTTTTTTTTTTTTTTTTTTCTTTGAACGTTTTCCTCTTTACCCGCCGTCCAACTCTCCCGTCCACCTCCACCTTATCTCTCGAGCATCAAGCTTAATGCTCGTCATCTTATAGTACATACATTACCTAGCATTTCTTAATGTTCGATCAAAGGTTCATCGTCATTGTCTATATTCTAATACCGTACCTTTCGTCTTGTTCGTCCACATTCCCCTTTTCCGCCCCGTTCTCTTGCATATGTTACCCGCTATACATTTGTTCTAGCATATGTCATTGGCAAGGCTTCGCTCCATACAATTAGATCATGTTAATCTTTTTGTGTCTGGTTTCTTTTCTGGATTGATCAGAAACGGGGATGATGTCCTCTCTCACTTTTTTTTTTTTTTTTTTTTTTTTTTTTTTTTTTTTTTTTTTTTTTTTTTTTTTTTTTTTTTTTTTTTTTTTTTCTTTTTTTCTTTTCTTTTTTTTTCTTTTTGGTCCGCGGTATGTTTCACGGCAGCTTACGTGTTGCTTATGTGTGCATCTTGTTCGGGTATTTCGATTAGCCCCTCTCTGGCTTCTCACCATCATCTTGGCGATTACCTTGGTTTCCTCATTTGAGCCTTTAGAGTGTACATATCCCATTATATAGAGATTGTTTGAGGTTGTACTCTCTCGTTTCCCCTATCCCCTCTGTCTGTTTTGTTCTTGATTGACTTGTAAATCATAAGACACCACGTTTGATGATGTCATAGCCTTTGTAACACGTGGCCAAGACGTCACATGGCGCGAGTCCGCAGAACTCGACTGCCCACTGCAGTCGCCATTACTCTTCGCGTAAAAAGCAACGCACGTACCTCCCCAGCGCCATGTCTTCCAACCCAAGCATCCCACAATTCGTCGTCATCAAGGATCACACCGCGCAATCCCACCGACACCCGGTGGTGCACTACGTCTTTGAGGACGAGGAGCTGGATGGTGGGGTGCCCAAGGACGGCTGCATCGTTGTCGACCTGTCGGACACCTGCTCCGAGGTTGTGGGCGCGGACAGCTACAGTCCGCTATTCCAGGTTACCGAGTGCCGGGTCGAGGCCGTCGCGTCGTCGACTGCCGCGTTGTCGACCAACATGGGCGGAGAGACGACGGATATGATGATGCTGACTATAGAGGGGATATCTGTAGAGGAGTGCGTTCCAACCGTTTCGATTTTTGTTTGTACTATCGAAAGTTTGTGAATGCGCTCGGATCAATATACTCTCCATTCCGCGATGTTGGAAGCGAAATCCACTCGGCGATGTTAAGAGTGAAGCTAATGTCACTCTTTGTCGCTTGCTGCACCAATAACAGGACTCGACAGCATCAAGGCGAACGTGTAATACCTCAGTCAATGGATTCCTTAAACCGACTGGTTCTTGATTTCAAACAGAGGTAATAGATAATTTGCCATGCTCTCGGAGGAGGGAGGGTGATGAGATAGTTGGTGCTTGAGCAAGAGGGAAACAGGATAGTAATGAAGGAAAGAAGGCCGAAATGTGATGCGCTGCATTATTTTCCATGATCACGGAAAGGTTTGACATTTACGCTTTTTGCTCTTTACTAATGCCTCCTATGTTTCTGTACATGTTATCGAACACTCTAATGATTGCATCCAGGAACGACTTGCTTCGCAAAGCGATATTACCATCCAATGATGCCGGTAAGAATTATTCATGAATTAGTGCGAGGTTAGATTCTTCACCAAAGCCACCACTTCATCTCGCAACCTTTTCCGTCATCACAGATGTCCAAGACGGGTCTTAGCCCGCGTCACCTAGAGAAGATATTTTACAAAAAACATTTTGTTTCCCATCGCAGGAGTGGCATTGAGATTATGAGTCAGAAATATCATCCTTCTTAATTTTTAGAAGTCCTCCTTGTCAACTAGAAAGACCACAGAGATGTTTGGATATCCGTATTTGCAATATACTACTACGAATTTTGCAAATGCGCTCGTTGTTTCGTATCAAGAATTTGATATGTATGAAAATACAATTGAATCTACTGGATTAATATAAAAGGTATAAAAGTAAGAATATAGATAGGGGGATAAAAAATACATATATAAACTGTAGCAGCGGGTGGTTTCGATCCACCGGCCTCGGGGTTATGAGCCCCGCGCGCTTCCTCTGCGCTACGCTGCTTGTTGTGATTTTAGGAGCCCTAAATTATATTTAATCACCATGAATTCTTTTTCTCGCCTTCCAAAACCTCGCACATTGGCTCAATAACATACAATTACACCGTCAAGAAAGAAAACCCGACACCATATTACCAGACTACAAGCTCCGCCAACAACCTTTGTGAATTTTTTTTTTTTTTTTTTT